CTGTGGGAAGGCTGCAGTCAGCTTTACCCTCAGATAACAATCACTCATAATGATCCCAAATGCCACTGATACACATATCCCTTTGCATTTCGTTCCTTATCCATCAAAATAATGAGGAATATACGGAATTTTACCTAAGGTAAGAGTGTTGATATTTCTGTATTTCTACAAGATGAATTCTAGATGAGAAAAGTTGAGAAAAGTTTAAAAAAAAAAAACAATTTCATCATTTTCACAAAATACAAAGAAAAGTAGATCATTTTGTCCCTGAACTTTCAGCAGAAAGCAAGACTCAGAAAGGAGAAATATACTGGAAAAAGAATACTTTTGATGCTTTTTTGCTGCAACGTGCAGAATTACAAATTTTTTAAAAAGGAAGCATAGCCCGAGACCTCGATTACTAGACAGACATCTCTCCAGTTTCGACATGAAGACCCAAAGAAAATCGCTCTAATAAAATCATATTTAAATGACATTTTTAAAGCCATATTCAAAATACAACCTTGCCAACAAAATAAACAGTAAGAATTGCCTTTTTTTTATTCAGAGGAGGAAAAATCTCTGGAAGAAAAATGAAGGTTGAACAGTCAGCATCAGTCTGCACAGAAGAGAGCAGTCTAGCAAGCTGTCATTGCCAATACAGCACAGACCCTGCTGTCAGGATGGGTTAACACAAGGCAGATCTTCCAGGAGAAACCAGAACACTCTAATGACAACTCAAACCAACAAAAAGCAAACTAGGAAAGAGAAAGTGACAAGGATTTTCAGTGTGTTCTCACTTATCAAAACACTTATATTGTTTCAACAGAAGAGATGTCTTTGTGGTTGATTTTTATATGCTTGCCTTTATTCCGTGTATGAAAAGGGGCTTAAAATGACTGTAATAAAGACTATAATAACAGCATGCTATTATAATTAAGCCTTGTAAACAGATTTTTTTTTTCTGTAAAAGAGGCTGTTTGTATCAACTCCGGTTACCAGAATTTTGAGTGCAGTTAGCAGAAATGGTCCATTCATATGGGCATCTAAATACATCTGGGGGGCATATTTAACTCTGTAACAAAAGACAACAAAAAGATTTCTTGGCAAGGAGAAATCCAAATGCTGAGAATGAAACTGTATATCTAGTGTTTAGTGGCTAAGCCCATGTAGTGTGATAATTAAAATCTTAAGGCAAATCATTCTAGCCGTGTAATGGCTCCACTCCATACCAGCTGTGTGGTCTTAGGCAAAGTAGTTTATCCTCTCCAGGTCTCTTATCTATAAAATGAGCCTAAAGTGCATCAATCACTTATCACAGAGTCAATAAGTCCTGAATAAAACAATGTAGTGGTCATGACGATGATGACAACGACGTATGTTTCAAATGCCTCCTTATTATGAATCTAAAAATGATCTGTGCAGTGTTTGCCTCTGTTCAAGGCCATTGTCATTATACTTACCACTGCTGTGTTTCTCAAACCTCTTACAATGGTATTTGGTGTGGATAGACAACTTTCCTGTATCAAGTTCCATGTATTTTTTTAAAACTTTATCTTTTTTTTTCCCTTTTTTTTTTTTTTAATGTGATGCTGAGGATCAAACCCAGGGCCTCACACATGCTAAGCAAGCACTCTACCACTGAGACACAATCCCAGCCCCTATGTAATTTTTTGTACACTGTTTTTATTTTTTATTTATTTATTTATTTTGGGGTGGTGGTGCGGGGAATTGAACCCAGGGCTTTGTGCATGTGAGGTAAGCACTCTACCAACTGATCATATCCCCAGCCCAGGTTTCCATGTTTTACACTATTTTTATTCTTTGAACCTGAAATTACATAAAACTTTCTTTAAACAGGTCTTTAAAATATTTTTCTTCCTCTATTGTGCCTTGTAAACGTTACCTGCTCATCTCACTTCCTAGTACAAGAATGACCCTGGTTTATCTGTCTAAAAGTTGCAGTTCTTCAAACTCGACACCACTCTTTACATTCTTTGTCATGTTAGGCCTTATAGTGGGCAGTCACCTCCCAACTGGGGTTCAACTGAAAACAAAATCCTTAATAGTGCCAAAACTATGGTATTTCCTATGTAACACCATTAAATATTACTCTTGACTATTAAATTATAGCATGGTTACCATTGTTCATCCTGTACTAGCCAAGTATTGGGCTCAAGCAGTGGAGAAGAAGTTCTTGTTAAGCTGAATTATAAAAGACTGCATGGAACAGTGATTTTTCAGGAAAGTTTCCCACAATCTACTCCAGCTCCCCAAGATCATGGAAGCTGCTGCACCTAGATGTGAAGAATACTCAGTAGAAGAGCATAATGCCACATGATTTGGCTGGTCTGTCCCCCAGGTTATGGAAAACCGGGAAACAAAACCAAGAACAGTTCTTCTACCTTCCATCTTACTCTAACATCACTCGAATTTTTTTACGTATTCACTACCCTGGAATTAGTCTATTCATGAAAAATTAAGCCCACGTCTCTAATCAAATAAGAAAGGAAATGTTTTCATGTAATGTCATCATTTTACATTCCCTTGGTCTCATAGATATGGTCCCCACTGCGCTCATATATGAATTATTCAAAGGAAGGGACCTCACCAGCTGATGGCTGGCAGCTTAAGTAAAATCCAATTATTCCTTAAGATTACCCTAGACAGAAAATAAAACAGAATTTACTGGGAGAGGAAAAAATTTACCTATTTTGTGAAGATTTGTGATTCTTGTTTTACAGTCATTTATAATTGAGAAATAATTTCATAAAAGGGCCTAGAAAAAAAAACCAACAAATCCTCTGAACCTTATCTTAGCAAAAGATAGCAAAAGGAGTCCAGGACAGGGAACCATGTCAGAAGAACAGTTCTCATGACATCTTATCTGACTGATCAAGTAAGGCAGATGCAGTCAGAGCACCCGTACCTTGAGTATACTGCGTACAACCTCAGCTCATGCAGATTGATTAACAGCTAAGAAAGAAGACTCTGGCATTATCCAAGAAAGCAACAGAAGACTAAAATTCAGTGAGCAGCAATAAATAAATAAATAAATATTAAAAATCTATGTTATGCTGTTGCCATATCCAAGGACAAGGGGCAAAGCTGAGATGTAAAAATTCAACCACTTACTCAAAACATATTTCCAAGTGCCTCAGTGGTTTGTTGGGATTTCTCTGACCAGAGGTTTCCAACATAGACTCAGAATCCAAAATAGACTGTATCATTGTCTATAAAAGGAAAGAGTTAAATTGAATGAAATATAAAATAGTATAATATATGATATATTAAAATAATATAGGTAAATATATAATATTATTCGATTCATTATTTAACCCCCTAAGACAAGGTAAATCCTAAGACAAAACTGTGAAGAACCAATATTCATTTTTAGCTTCTGCTCATCTCTGTGCTTTGCACTCCCTCCTCCTGGCATACCATCTGCCTATGACTCAGTTCCCTTTATTCCTTCTTTCAATGTAGTTATCTAATAAATAGATGTTTCATGCTTACTAGTAATGGGTTAACGTGTTACTCTTTTCATGGGCCGTTTATATTTTAATAGATGATAGAAAAAGAAGTGTGTTAACCTAAATGATAAAATTTCAAACAGATCATCAAATCAATATTTTAAAAATCAGGGATTAAGACTGGTGCCTTCTCTAGCCTCAGCAACTTAACGAGGCCCTTAGCAATTCAGTGAGACCCTGCCTCTAAATAAAATATGAAAAAGGGGATGTTGCTCAGTGGTTAAGCAACCCTGAGTTCAATCCCCAGTACAAAAAAAGAAAAGAAAGAAAGAGAGAGAGAGAGAGAGAGAGAGAGAGAGAGACAAAGAGACAGAGAGAGGGAGAGTGGTACCTTCCAACTGCATAAATTCGTTATTTGGGCAAGGCATGTGCCTTGAGAATTACAACTGCTTAGTTTTCTTGGAATTTACTAAAGGACTATTCTATACTCTCAAGACACTCGATTTATCAGTTGGCTATTACCACAAAATTGCTGAATAGCAATCAGCCACAAAGTCTCAATGGTATACAATAAACACGTATTTTCATACACTGAGGGTTTCTGCTAATCTAAGATAAACATGGATGGTCTTGAGTTAACTCAACTTTTGTCTTGTCCACGGGTTGCCTAGCTCATTCATGAATTTTTAGGATAACTCTGTATCATAAAACTTTCATCATTCCTGAGAGCAGTGAACAACTTGAGCATGACTTTCTCTCATAGTGGTGTCAAAGATGAAAGAGCATAAGGGCATTACATCAAATCTCTAAAAGGTTAAGGTCAGAAGTGGCACATAATCATTTTAACCACATTTGTTGGTGAAATAAAGCCATATAAACCAACTGTAGAGTCAGAGCTAGAGAGTGCTGAAAATTTATATGACAAAGAATGTGGACAGAGGGAATGTGGATGGAGGGAATGTATATGTCTACATATACAACTGATTTATTTATATCAGTTGTATTTACCCTAACAAAATCATCCTATAAATGAGAATAGACTCTTGTAAGATTCTCACATTGTTCATGTAAGTAAGAGTATTTAATGAAGATCAACAATAACAACTTACATGCACTTTGCATTTTTTTTTTGCCTCAAAAAGTGACATGTATTCAAAGGAGAAAAAATGATAAGATGTCCATCCCTTGGCTTCCTTCCCTTCCCTTTCTAGCTTCTCCTTAACCCCCAGGATTGAACCCTGGCTGGAGCTAGGTAGCAGGACAGACCCTCTCAGATGAGGTCAGCAATATTGAGGCATCTCTTCAATGGAGGTGTAATAGAAGATGTCTCTAAGAGTCCTCTTGTCTTTTCTGTCATTATGTTAATAGCCAAACCCAAAATGCCCACCTCAACCAATTCTGTGGATATAGTTTTCCCTATTGGTGGGAAGGTTATAGTTGATGACTAAAGAAACTTGCTGCACATCAATGCCTCTGGCCTATGTCAAGAAAGATGGCAAATTCAGCCTGTGAATTGAGGATAAGATCCATCCAGAGGGACTTAAATATGCCTGTAGGCAGCCAAAGGAAGGCAAAACAAATCAAGTATCCTCTGTCTCCCAAAGACCTTAGGCATTCCAGGTCTTCTTCCAAACACTTTACTTTTATAATTAAACATAAAGTAGAACTTATTTTATTAACATATATCTAACTCATTTTTACAAAAATAGAATTCCAGATTTTTTTAATTTAATAAATTCCTTAGTGATTAACAAAACAATATTTTGAAATTTTAGCTGCAATAAACAGTATTGTGATCAATGTCCTTATCCATATGTGCAGGGCAGAATGACTCTTTGAAGATGTAGTTGAAGAGATTTTAGTTGAAAATTCTCCAAAATCAGAATTCAAAGGAATCAGTCATAGACCTTTTACACATCATCATTCCCAAGCAGGATAAATACAAACATTACACTTATTCAAACACACTATTCAAAGAGCTGGGAGTAAAATAAAAACAAAGCACAAATTTTAAAAGCAGATTTTCTGTTTTCAAACACAATTCAAAATATAGACACAGTATATCCATGTTAAAATCCACATAAAAAATAACCATCTTGTTTCCTGAAAGAATGAAGGACATAGAAAAATGCAACAATATTTTTAAAATGACAAATTTTTTTTAAAAGCCACTCAGGCTGGAATTCTATATCAAGAGAAAATATCCTTTTTTTAAAAAAAAAAAGCAAGTAAAATAAATATATTTTCAGAGTGACAACAGCAAAGAGAATGAGTTTTCAACAGACCTTCACTGTAAGAATACTAAAAGAAGTTCTTCAGGCTGAAGAGGAATGATACCAGATGTAAAGCAATCTGCAAGAAGACATAACCATCCCAGCAAAGTGTGTGTGTGTTTAATTTTTTTAAAGATGGGTTGCTTCAAGATTCAACAGAAGTTGTAGAAATGATTGCATACTTAAGGTAAAATATAAGACAACAATAACAAAAAGAATAGGGAGGGGCAAGGAGGAGAAGACTTCTGCAAGGTTCTTATACTCTTCATGAGATGGGGTGATGTTTTTTTTTTTGAAGAGAAACTGCAATAACTCAGAAACTGCAATCATCTCTAGAATATAGCACTCTGAAAAAATTATTTGTTTATAACAAAAAACTCAATACATAAAATAAAATAGTGAATTTACCCAAAGAAGGCAAGAAAGGAGAAACAGGAATAAAGAGTGTCAGAGGTGACCTCTGAAGGTGACTTGTTTCAAAGGTGAAAAAAGAATGCCAACCTTCCATAAGCCCTTTCAGAAAACAGAGGAAAGAATGTATCCCAACTTGATTATCAAAACCCAAAAAGACAAAAGAGCTAGTGACCTGTGATATGCATCATGAAGATGAAAGTCCTTAGCAAAATACTAGCAAATTGAACCCAGAAGTACTAAAATAAATAAATAAATAAATAAAATAAAAATAAATGACCAAGAGATATTCATCTAAGGAATGCAAAGTTATTAAGTTATTTGACAAATATCAATGTTCTGGACTTCCAGTTTCAATTCCAGGGTATAAAGAGCTTGGAAGTCATCTACAGCTCCCCCAACAAAAGTTAACATATTTAAAATCAATAACTCTTCTTATATCTAGGACTGAATTGAAATCACAGGGCAAATCATTGAAAACCAGAGAGACATGAACACAAAGGATGCCAATTCACCCACTGATGTCATAAACCGGAACACCTAATAGTTGAAAATTTTCTGGAGGCTGAGTGTGGACCAGCTGGAGCATTAAAAGTCCCCCATAGCCCACTCAGTTTTAGTGGCAACCCCAATCTAAGACTTCTGTGAGTCTTACCTCCAGGAGCTCCTCCAAATGTTTTCAGTGAAGATCAGAGAAAAAAATACTTTCCTCCTCTGGATGAGGAGGGGCACAGAGAAAAAAGTAACCAGTTTTAAAATATTTCCAGGGGAAAGTAATCCTTCTGAAATAAGCTCAGAGCAATATGTTCTCAATAACAAAGTACTTCCTTAAAGGAAAGTTACTTTGCCAGAGCATTGTCTGACCTAGGGAAGGGCCATTAGACAACTTCAGTCCTCTAGCCTTCCTATATCAAATGAGGGTGTAAAAAGAAAGACTAAGAAACTTTCCCAAAGGTCACAGACCAGAACTCAGACCCACTAAAAATCTGAGACTGATTTTAGTATTGCAGAATGATTTCCCTGCCCAGTACCCACATATCATATCAAGGGAACTCCATTATAAAACAGTGGGTCACAACTGCGAGAGTTGTGAGGTGCACACTATTTAAGCACACCCATGGGCCAGACCCCTCTGGTCCTTTCCCAATCAGTCATGTTTATAAGAGTTAGGGGGACATATTAGATTCCAATGGCTGCTATGAAGTTGCCCACAAATTTAACATCTTAGAACAATACAATACTGTATTCTCTTACAGTTCTGCAGGTCCGAAGTCCTAAAACAGTTTCAAGGGGTTAGCAAGGCCACACTCTCTCAAGAGGCTCTACGTGAGAATCCATTTTCTTTCCTTCTGCAGCTTCTATGGCTGTGTTGCTTGGCTGGTGACCATTTTTCCACCTTCAAAGTCTTAAGAGCAGCACTTTCAATTTCCTTTCTTTTTCCATCATTACCTCCTCTTCTGCACTCTGTGTCAAGTCTCTCAGCTACATCTTCATATCACCCTCTCTCCCATTTAAAAAAAAAAAAACTCCTTCTGCCTTCTTCAGATAATTCCCACTTAGATAATCCAGAATAATCTCCCTGTCTCAAGATTCTTAATTTCAACACATCTACAGAATATTTTTAGCCACATGCTCCAGTGATTAGGATCTTTGGGGGCCATTATTCAGCCTAGCACAAGAGCCAGGAGAAACAGGGGCACATTCTATTTTAGGATTTGTATGGGAAAAGTTAGAATAAAGCATAATTACTTTCCTAATCAGGGTTAAGATCGTGCTATTAGCTAAGCACTTTATGCAACGTTGTAAAGTGTGATGTCCCATTCATTGTGTTTCCACAGAAGAATTATATGTCGAAATTTAGCAACTAATTTTCAAGAGCCCCTTCCACTCAAGAACTTTTTCCATCTCTCACCGATATACAAGTCAGGAATTATCATAGAAATGGAACTATTTGGTGGAGAGTAAATATATTTTACCTTAAAATGCACTCTGAAAGGTTTGCCCATGGAGTTTCATGCAAAGAAAATTTATTTTAAGCATAAAATCAGTGCTAACATTCTGAATATGAACATGCTGTTTCTGTTGGTCTTCATGGGGGGTCAGTGCCCAAAAGGCATAGATATATTCAAATTTTAGTTGTTTATTGCTTTTTATTACTTTATTTTACTTTGTCTACATTTATTTTGGAAAGTTTCAAATAAATGTAAAAAAAAAAACAGAGAGAATAACATAGTAACTCCCTGTCATCACTACCAGCTTTCAGCTACCAACCTTCCTACACTGTTCTTCTATAATACCTGCAGCCACTTTTTTTCCTGCATCATTTTAAAGCAAAATTTAGCCATTATTAAAATTTCTCCTTAAATGTTAGCTTTTTATTTTTTTTTTAAAGTGAGACTTTTTTTAAAAAATTGACTTGCCCTACATTCAGCACAATGGTAATTCATTCATTAATAGCTTTTAATATTAGTTGGTCTTCAGTCCCTCCACTTGTTTCAAAAATGTCTTCTCACATTAAAAAGCTGATTCTTCTTGATTCTAACTTTCCCCACACAATTCTAAAAAGGAATGTGTCTCTGTTTCTCCTGGCTTCCGCAGTAAGCTAAAAATTGCTTCCAAGGATCTCTAGGTCCTAATCACTGGAGCATGTGGATATGGCCTATAATGGCACTGGTGGTGTGTTCAAATCAGAATCCACACAAGTTTTATTATCATTTTTTAAATCTATGTTGTACCTATATTTATTACTTTTTCATTTTGTACGTTTTTCTTTCAGCCCTTCTTCTGATTAGTCTTGCCACCCATTTACCAGTTTGGGCTTTATTAGTATTCTCTATTATTTTCTATGGCTGTTGTCCTGATTTAGTTTTTATTGTGAAAAAAATATACATAACATAAAATGTACCATTTGAACCTTTTTTAAGTGAACATTTCAGTGGCATCAAATACAACTACGACCAGTATTTATTTTCAGAACTTAGAAAAAAATAATTTTATGAGGAAAACCAAGCAAGTGATTGTAGCTCTTCAGATAACTTCCCTCCATAGGATGACTTGAGATTTCAAAAATAGTCATTTACAAACTCCTTAGAAGTTTCCAGTGTCATATAACAATTTTTAAAACTCTGACCTGGATCACAGTTAGGTAACCTTAACTGGTATTTAATAAATGCCATTTACAAGAAGGATGTATAACTGCATTAAATCTTGATCAAAATAAATGTCAGGGCCCCACCCTGAGGTAGAATCCTATTATGTATTGATCTTTTGTATTCAACAGCCCATCAAATACCATCATAAAGCAAATGAGATTGCTGGTTTCATCCCAGGGCTCATTGAATTACAAAGTTGTTTATAAAGATTAACTCAATAATGAATGGTATTGCAAAATAACTAGTTTACTCTCTGAAAAGTTTGCATCCTATTAACAATCACAATCTTATTGAGCCATTTTCCTTGCTATTATTATTAATTAGAAGTGAAGCAATCAATTCTTAGGTGTACAATTAGCAAGCTGTGAGCATTCTTCATTGACCATGTATTGGGATAAAACAATTAGCAAAAAATTTAACCTAATTAAAACAGTTTGTAAAGTGAAAAGAACCTCAGTGATAGATTGCTCCTCTAGTTCTACTGTCAAAGCTTCGAAATAAAATGTGATACCTATTTTTTAATTAAGCCCTTATTCAAGAAAATCAAGAGAATAAGAAATCATATCCCCTGAAGAGTACATAGATTATTTCACATGAGATTTGGTTTATGACCTAACAACTCATCATTTTAGAAAATGTGAGAGACAAAGATGGGCAAACTGTAAAGTACTGTGATACATGGGTCTCCCTCAATATGAGATCCTTTACAGATTGAAAAAAATCATAGGATTGAGGAGGGCAGGAAAAGAGAAAAAGTAATCCTATTTTTACATCTCATCCAAATATGAAGATAACATTGAAAAACCTGCATAAGGAATA